TTTCTAACATATAGTTTACAAATGTGTGCAACACATATTCTTGAAAACATTTAAAAATACTGGACAATCCATGGGTTTCACATGCTCTAGGTGTGCCCCTGTGTGCTCGAGCAGCTTCCAGTCATACCGGACAGGTAGAGGAAATAGAAGATTCTCTACGGTCCGCTTGAGGAGAAAAAGAGACACACTGGAGGGGGGGTAATGGAGAGACACACTGAAGGCCTGGGGAGAAAGAAACAGAGGGGCTGAGGAAAGGGAGAATTAGACACACTGGGAGTTGTGAGGATAGAGACACACAGGTGCTGGGACAAGAAAGAGAGAGGGCTGAGGAAGGGAAAAAGGAGAAACACAGAAAGTGGTTGTGTAAGAGGACAATGAAACAGAGAGGGGCTGAGAAGGGGACAATGACACACAGAGAGCCTGGGTAAGGGGGCAGTGACACACACAGGGGCTGGTGCAGTGGATAATTACACCCAGAGGAGTTGGGGAGGGGGTACTGACACACATTAAAGGGCTGGGAACAGGGACACAGGCACATAGAGGGTCTGGAGTAGGGGATAGGGACACAGAGGGGCTGGAGAAGGGGACAATGACACAGAGGAGCTGGGGTAGTGGACAATGACACACACACAGAGGGGCTGGAGAAAGGGAACATTGACACACAGAGGGGCTGAGAAAGGGGACAGGGACACACAGATAGGCTGGAGAAGGGGACAATGACACACACAGAGGGACTGGAGAAGGGGACAATGACACACACAGAGGGGCTGGAAAAGGAGGCAGGGACACACAGAGGGGCTAGAGAAGGGGACAATGACACTGAGGGGTAGGGGACAATGACAGACAGTGGAGCTGGAGAAGGGGACAATGACACAAAGAGGGGCTGAGAAAAAGGACAATGACAGACACTGAGGAGCTGGGGGAAATAAGAGACATATATTGAGCTGGAGGGATGTAAGAGACACACAAAGGGGAGTAAGGCACAAAGGATAGAATACACTAAAGGGGGTGTAAGATACACAAAAATGGGTAAGACATTCAAAAGATGGGATCAGGGGCGGACTGACAGGTCGGGCAGATCGGTCATGGACCGAGGGCCCGAGTCAGTCAGGGGGCCCGGCAGCACAGTCATGCTTGTGCTGTGGAGATCAGAGATCTCCACAGCAGAAGTTATGCAAAAAACAAAGTGCTGTAAGAAGGTTGCAGGGGCCATAATGAGTCGAAGGGCCCCTGCACGCCATCAATCTGCAAATACTCCCCCACCCCCCCATTCAGTGTGAGACCTTGCAGCACACCTCTCACTGCCAGATCTCCTCTCTCTCTCTCTCCCTGGTCTGTGCTCAGAGCTAGTGTGAGGATGGGAGGCGGGGCAGGAAGTGCTCTCACAAGGAGCACACTTACAGCATGGATGGAGGGTGAGAAGAGGAGCCTGTCTGCCCCACTGCTGCTGGAGTAAGATGGAGGGAGAAAACCAAAAACAATCACATTGTACAGGTAAGCAGGCCCATACACACACTGCCCCCCCCATATATACACACATACACACTTCCCCCCACCCATATACATACACTGCCCACCTATATATACACTGCCCAACTATATACATACACTTCCCACCTATATATATACTGCCCACCCATATATACACACTTCCCCCCACTCATATATACACTTCTGCCCACCTATACATACACTGCCCACTCATATATACATACACACTTCCCCCCACCCATATATACACTGCCCACCTATATACATACACTGCCCACCCATATACACACACTGCCCACCCATATACACACACACACTTCCCCCCACCCATATACATACACTGCCCACCTATATATATACACTGCCCACCCATATACATACACTGCCCACCCATATATACACACATACAGACTTCCCCCCTGTAAAGGACCGTTTTGCACACAAGAGGTTAAAAACCGTTTAGGCGATATTCCCCTTTTCATATGCACAGACAGCTACTGCAATTACCAATCTCCCGAATGGCGCTCAGATCACATACATACAGTTCAATCGCCATGGAGCCAAAGTCTTTCCCATAGTCTTTCGTTACACGAATGGGCTCCATGGCTTAGCTATCTGGGGTGATGCTGTTCATCTGGTTAAACTACCGAATGAATAGTCATTCGGTTCCACTACCGAACGCAGAGGTAAGGAGGTTGGCGGCTCAGCGGTGTTCGCGCAAATAAGTGTCCGTTTTCAGTTCCAAAGTTTGGACGCTGAACACCGCTGGCCGTTCGAATACAATGTCCTCAATTACATTCTGCATCCAATGCTTACAATTCCCAATTCAATTTTCAAACGCACTAAGTTTGAGATGAAAAAGACAATGAGTTTTCGAATTGAGATGAATTTACCATCAAAATGTTCTGTTATAAAGTGAAACCAGTTCAATTGTGATAACAGAAATGCATATCAAGAACATTAGTCAAATGGAAAGTGAGGGAAGGAGACAGTGTCTTTAGACATCCAGGCATTTCCAGCTATGTTTTTGTTTTGCTTAAATGCTATTTACTTAACAAATTGTCAACTCTTTTCCTGCCTTTTTTGACCTCAGGAAGCAACGATATTAAAATGTGTTTCCATTCTAGGACTCTTCTTATCATCTTAATCTTTCTCCATGAACTTCCGTGGAAATACCCAAATGGGAGTGCATGAGTAAAAACCTGACTATCATGTGGATTGTAGCTCATCTTATTTCTGAGAATATTCATAGTACATTAAACTAAAGCTGTGGGTTCCTATTAAAACAATTTCATCATATTTAATAGTTGAAATATATGAAATTTCAGGCACAAGCATTGACCTGTAGCAAGGCTGGACTGGGGAAAAAATTAGGCCCGGGCATTTTTCAATCAGAGCGGCCCCCTAAAAAGGGGGCGGGGCCAGAGAGGGTGTGTTTTGTCATCACTAATGACAAGCACGCCCCCTCTCAAAGTGAGCATGTTGGTTCAATGCGCAGAGCCCCGCTGAAGAGCTCTAGCATTAGAAAAAGGCCCTGTATTTGTTCTGCGCAGCACAAGCAAATTTAATAACATGCTTGCACTGTGTTTGCTTTTAAATTGTCTCTGGTGTCTCCACAAGTGGGATACCAGAGGGCAAAAGGGCCAAGAAAGTGTATGGTGCATGTGTTTTGAGCCTGCGTGTGGGATTGCGTGTGTGTAGAGTGTGGTGTGGTATTGTGTATAGGTCAATTTCATTGGTGTTTGTGGTGTAATATGTGTGGCTAGGGGCTGTAGAGAGTGTGTGTATAGGAGCATAGTGTTATAGGGGATGTAGCGAGTGTGTGCACACAGGCTGTAGTGTGTATGTGTATAGGTGACGTAGTGTGTGTAGAGGTTGTAGAGAGGGTGTGTTTAGAGAATGTTGTATGTGTTTGCTTACAAGGAATGTAGTGTGTGTGTGTGTGTGTGTGTGTAGGTGGTGCAGTGTGTGTGTAGGAGATCTAGTGTGTAAAGGACCCAGAGTGTGTATAGAAGATTGTGTGTGTGTGTGTGTGTGTGTGTAAAGGATTAAGAGTGCATATAGGGTAAGGGATCTAGCGTGTACCTGGAGCGTAATGTGTGTAGTGGTGCAGTGTGAGGGGTGCTGTAGTGTGTGTGTGTGTGTGTGTGTATACATATACATAAAGAAAAAAAGACCTTGCACTCCAACTTACATTGTAAATGACCCAGTGCTCAATTGCACTAAATAGATACAGCCAAAAGGAATCAGCACTCCCAGGATTTATTCAAAAAACGAAAACTTTTCTTTATTCCAAAGGTCAATGTTTCAGTTCCGCTATGTGTGTGTGTGTGTGTGTGTGTGGTGTGCTGTGTGAGGGTGTTGTGTGCGTCTGAGGGTGCTGTGTGTGTCTGGGGGTGCTGTGTGTGTGAGGGGGCTGTTAGTGTGACTGTGAATTTATTTTAATATATTTTTTATTAATATTTTTTTTTTAAAGTTATATAACCCCCTCCCTTCTTACTTTTAGCCTGGGAGGGGGGGAGAGGGAGCTGGGTTTCCATGGAGTGGGGAGCCATGCTGCCTTCCCTGGTGGTCCTAGTGGTGAGAGTGAACTCTAGCCTGCAGGCTAGAGTTCACTCTCGCGAGATCTGAGCGTTCCCGCGGTAAACAAGGCAACGCTCAGATCTCGCGAGAGGACCTGGCGGAGCTGCTGGCTAGAGCTCCACCGGGTCCTCTCTCCTCTCCTTCCCCAGCCGGCGGCCGCATGTCAGTGCCTCTGGGCCAGTGAGGGAGATCTTTGATCTCCCCACCGGCCCATGAAGGCACACAGCAGGGCAGGCGCTCGGATAGCACTGGCCCTGCAGGGGCTGGCAGGGGAGATCCTGTGATCTCCCCTGCCGGCCTCGGCCCATGGCCATCGCGGCCCACCGGGCATTTGCCCAGTATGCCCGATGCCAGTCCGGGCCTGACCTGTAGTTTGTTTTGTCTCCTAGTCTAAAAACATTAGATCAGACGAGTTATTAGATTCTAATGTACTGTTTAAAAGGTTGTACACATGTTATGTATGATAACACATGATAAACACAGGCTGATTAACTAAGGGGCAAGAGGAGCTCCAGCTTCAGGCCCATTCTGCTGTGATAGAAATAGTAGAGACCACTTAGCCCTGGTTGGTGCACACACAAGCCGAAGTAGGTACATGATGGCTGGTTCAATGCAGCTTTTATTGGGTCAAAGAGTACACAAGCTTTGACCCGATAAAAGCTGCATTGAACTAGCCATTGTGTGCCCGAACTTCTCTGTAAACCATTCTGCTGTGATAGACCCACACTACTGACTAACATGTCATCCATGCAGCTTGTTCCTCCTTCACCTCCTGATTGATCTCTTGGAGAGCCGTGGACTAGAGCTAGCTCTCAAATGTCGTCACGGGATATTTTTGCAATATGCAGCAAATTAGGGCGTGGCAGGACCGAGCTCCTCGCACTAGGCCACAAAATAGCGATAATTCAGCAGAACCAGCAGCCACAATGGTTCGTAATAAGAAGCCCTCTTCCCTGGGCACCTCACTGACGAGCTTACCCCGCAGACCCACGGGCACTATGGATGATTTTGTGTCCACACCAGCAGAGCTGCAAGGGGCTAGAACAATGGACAAGATGGCTTCGGTCTCCCCTGGCATTGAAAGTTCGGGAGACTCACTGGAGTGCAGCAACCGGGAGGATGCGTTAGCCCAGATCAGACAAGAACTGGCAATGATCTCGGAACACATGCTTACAAAGGCAAACACTGGAGGCCCGATGCAGGAATTCCGGATGGCGGTGCTGGAAGAGATCACTACCCTGCGCACCGACCTGGCCACAGTGGAGGTGAGGGTTGAAGCCCTAGAAACAGAAGCGCAAGCAAGCCGAACTCAGCACAGGGCCGCCGAACTCGCTACCACCCGCCAGGGTAACCTCCTTGTCGCCCTACGCTGCCAGGTTGAGGACCTTGAAAACCGCAGCAACCGCCACAACATACGGATTCGAGGCCTACCGGAGCCGGTCTCTACACCGCTACCGGAGACGGTCCGGGCCCTCTTCAAGCAAATACTAGGTCGGGGGTGCCCCACGGACATCAGTTTGACAGAGTCCACCGAGCCCTGGGCCCACAGAGGCAGTATGGGAAGCCCATAGATGTCCTCTGCTGCCTCCACGCCTACAGCCTCAAAGAGACACTGAGAGACACCGCTACTAGAGGCACTGACAAAATCACGTTCCAGGGCTCGGAGGTAGCACTTTTCCAAGACTGTCTAGCCTTACACTGGACGCACAGAGGGCGCTCCAACCCCTAACAGCTGGCCTGAGAGATAAGAACATACCCTACCGCTGGGGGTTCCCCTTCAGTTTGCAGGTGAGAAACGGCAACTCCTGGCTCCATATCCACTGGCCAGGCGAGGTGGCCCCAGCACTGAGAACCCACCATATCCCTCACATGCGCATCCGCAATTGGCTGTTGGAGACACCGCTAGCGCCGAGAGGTAGACCTGGCGACCAAGGCACCCAGCCCATGTTGCCACAGGCGAGAGATCCCCCAGCGCGGATGTGGGGAGGTCCCGCCAGAGGAATAGCATACCCACTTGTCGGAGTGATCAGCCTCGGAGCAAGATACTGGGGTCCCGCCCGAGATTGGAAGGGTTGCTGGCCATAGTGGGTTACGGATTTTAGGTTGGGTGGTTGGTGGCGAGCTTCCTCTGATCCCCCCCCTCCCAGCCTTGGGCCCGGCTACAAGCCTTATAGACACAGCGGTGTATGGACTCCTGCTTCGGCCTCTCAGAGCGGCGGTCGCACTTGCTGCGGTCCCTTTGGACTGCTAGGGCCTCAGCTGCATTCCTCCAGGCGACCCACTTTAAAGAGCCAGAATGCCCCATGCTGCGAGATCCGAGATTCCAAACTGGGTACTTTGCCAACCATCCGGAGGCCAAAAAGGCCGGAGTGGCAATACTCTTCGCCCAACACATTCTGTTCTGCTGCATGGAAACTAAAGTTGACCCGAATGGATGTTGACTGTTCCTCAAAGGCACAATCGCTGACAGGTGATACACATTCGCACCAATTTAACGCGAGCCAACACCGCTTCCTCTCCAAGACTCTTAAGCTGCTTAACCTCTTCAGAGAGGGGCTCCTTATTGTGGCAGGAGACCTCAATGTTCCACTAGACCCTCGCATGGACACATCCAAAGGCTGTAGCTCACACTCTGACCTCTGCCAGCGAGCTACCAATGACGCGCTCCGCACCACTGGCGGGTCCTCCACCCAGACACAGCCGTCTAGACTATATCCTTGTCTCCCAGGAATACTTGCACCTCCTCCAGACTTGCGACATCCAAACTGCGATCTGGTCGGACCATGCGATGTGCTCCCCCCTTTTCAAACCCAGTGGCAGACAATGGAGGCTCAACGAACAGGTTTTGTGGGATTCGCAGGCCCTTACGGAGGCTGCCGAAGTGTTGAGACAATACTTTGAAACCAACAACGCCCCAGAGGTCGCACCCCTGACGAGGTGGGAAGCGCATAAATGCATCATCCGCTTTCATCAAGACCTGCACCAAGCGCAAAAAGGAATACCACAGTCAACTTGCTGACCTCTACACGCAGACCGCACAACTCGACCTGGACCCCCGAACCACCCCGACGGAAGACATCTACCGGACCCTCTTGGAAGCTCACGGAGACCTGAAACAACTACTGTTCCAAAAACTGACCCACACGCTCCTCAAATCGTGTAGATACTTCTATGAACATTCAAACAAATGCGGTCGTATGCCTGCCAAAACGCTACAAAAGAAACGACGACTGGCACAGATCACTATGCTCCAGACAGCAGGGGCGGCACCCACGAGACGGCCGGATAAAATTTCGCAGAATTCCAGGACTTCTACACCAAACTGTACAATTTGCCGGCTGGACCGAGGCAGCCTGGAGGAGGTTGACAAGGACGAGGGAATACCTGGAACAACATGTGCACCGGAAACGGACACAGGCCCAAATGGAAGACCTGGAAGACCCCATAACAATGGTGGAACTCTTGGGGGCCCTTAGAGCCACCCGCCTGATACCTCAGGAGCTTTGGGGAGATTCTCCTGCCCGAGCTCCTGACGGGACTGAACGCCATACTAGAGGGCGGGAGGTTCCCCGACGACACCCTTGTGGTGACTGTGGCAGTTATCCCGAAGGAAGGGAAGGACTCCACTGCGTACACCAGCTATAGACCCATCTCCCTCTTTAATGCGGACCTCAAACTATTCACTAAGATTCTGGCCCTCCGAGTGGGCCGCGTTGCCCCGGACTTAATACACACTGACCAGACGGGATTCATCCCGGGCCATGAAGCTAAAGATAACACAGCACAAGCGCTCAAAATCATGCATGTCAACCAGAAAACCGCCTGTGGAGGCCTCCTCCTCTCGACTGACGCCGAAAAGGCATTCGACCGTGTGGACTGGTAGTTCATGAGTGAGCGTCTGCGAGCAATGGGCTTTGGCCTCCACATTCAGATGTGGATAGTGGCCCTGTATACGACTCTGAAGGCCCGTCTGAGGATCAATGGCGCCCTGTCCCAGCCATTTGCAATCCGGAATGGGACGCGGCAGGGTTGCCCCCTGTCCCCCCCCCTCCTGTTTGCCATCATGCTAGAACCCTTCCTGGAGGCGGTCAGACGGGATGGGGGCATAACAGGAGTCACACTTGGTGGTGGGACCCATAAGGTTGCTGCATATGCAGACAAACTTTGTCGAAAACCCAATGGTAACGCTCCCGAACCTGTTACGTGCATTCAAGACCTATGGGGCACTCTCTAACCTAAAAGTGAACACGGACAAGTCCGAAGCGCTCCCATTACACCTGCCTCCAGGCCTACTAGAACAGCTCAAAGTGAACTTCCCCTTCAAGTGGTGCATTAAATACCTCGGAATCTGGTGACGAGACCTGAGAAGACTGTACCAGGACAACTTCCTGCCCTTGTTGGGGACGCTACGCTCGGATATGCAGAGATGGGGAGCGTTGTGTGTTTCATGGTTCGGCAGAATCAACGCCGTTAAAATTAACCTTCTGGCTCTTGTACCTCTTTTAGACCTTCCCGGTCCAGATCCCCCTGGCCTTCTTCAAAGCCCTAAACACGGCTATCCGACAATTCATATAGACATTGGGCTCAGCCAGACTTAAACACGGGCAGCTTCTCATACCGAAGCGCCTGGGCGGAGTGGGCCTACCCGCTCTACAATCTTACTATCACACCGCGCATCTCCTCCGAATAGTAGACTGGCACGTACCAAAAACGGACAAGCACTGGGTCCACCTTGAGCGCGTGCAAGCCCAGGGACGGATCCCGCTGGTCACATGGCTTCTAAACCCCCTACAGACCAGGGACATACGCGAACACCCGCTCGTTGGGGCAACCCTACGTGTGTGGTCCACTCTACGATATAAGCTCTAGCTCTCAACCAACCCGACGCCTGTGACGCCAGTGGTCTACAACCCAGAGATAGCAGTTGGCCTGGCACTGCGAGACGTAATTGGACGCCCGAACAGGTTACACGGAGACTGGTGCACTAGCAGACAACTGAAACACCTCGAGACCCTGCTGACACAGGACCACGCGACAGAGCTATTACGCTTTCAATTCCACTAAATACAACACTCCTACTGCACATTACCGGGAAAACATCTCATACACAGAGACTTAACCCAATTCGAGACCCTATGCTCCGAGGATATACATCTGCCGCGGGGAATCTTGGAGATACATCTGCCACAGCGGCATTTCACATGGGCCTTACACCAACAGCCCGCTGCTGGAGATGCAACACGGCCGAAGGCACGGATTTGCATATCTGGTGTCGTGCCCATCTATAGCTACCTTTTGACAACAAATACATGGGAAACTGAGAGATATCCTGTATTCAGACGTACCGCTACAACCCCTCCCAATGCTACTCCACCACACCAAGATGCCAATCGGGAGGTATAAAAGGTCCATGTTCACAACAATAATTTGGACGGTACAGCTGTCAACCGGACTCACTACTCTCTGTGGCAATTTCTGTTATTCATGTTAAACAATTTTTTACGAGTTTGAGTAAACACATACCTGTAGTGTGCGCACTAAAATACTGAAAAATTAAGATTGTCAATTAAGTGGCATACAAATAATGGCAAGACCTGTAGTTAAGAAAAATGCATGGCTTAATGTGACCAAACCTACCGAAATGTAGTAAGATAAATGCTCCATGTTACATGTGATTCTTGTTCCAGCGGGAACTGAGTATTCCCTACTCTGCTTGCCTCCTTTGTTGAAAAAAAGAATTATACTTACAATTGCCAAAAAGATGCACTTGGGCATTTTAGCCATACAGTGGTTTTATCAGGTGTTCCTGCTAGGGGCCATTGGGTGGTGGCCATTGGGTGGTGAAGCACGTCGGTGTTAAGTGTATCTCCGTATTGTAATTTGCTCATACTACAGTCTGTAACAGTTCAGGTTTTGCTCCATGCTACATTGTAGTGATTCCTAAGCAGATGTCATCGATCTATTGTTTGAAAAACTCAAATTCTGGAAACTTGTTCAAAGCTACCCTGTACTGTTTTCTAAGCAGATACCCTTGACCTGTTGTTTGAAAATCCAAAATAAAGATTGTCAAAAAAAACAAACATTGTAGCATAACTAATTTCACCAACCCAGATGTATTTTCTGACAAACTGCCTGTGACTTTGTAAATGATTCTAGAAAGGTAGATCCCATAGGTTTTAAAACTACAGCTTCCATGTTGCTTTGGCATTCTAAAGGCATGCACAGCATCATGTAGTACTGCAACATATGGGGATCTACCTTTTGGGCACCCCTGTTCTAGATAATATACCACAACCGTGCATGTTCTTGCCAGTAAGTGAGAATTGCACTAAACAGATCTGAGCTCTATTTGGACATCTTGGGTGCTCGGGTCACACTTGTGGGGTCCCGTGTAATCTGAATGTAGTTTTGGTGTGTTTTGTACATTTTCTGTATGATTCCCTGTAACTGAGAGATAATTGAGTTACCGGTCTTTGACTCAATTATCTCCCAGACACAGGGACGTCTGGGAAGGGTTTATGTTGTTTTGTATGGTAGGTGGGGGGGGGTGGCAGGAGCCCAGTGGGTAAAT